CAGGCTTCCACGACCATCCTGCTGGAAGGGCAGGCCACTTTGGCCAGGTATGTCCACAGCATGTTCCACCACCAAGTAGCATCTCACACAAAGGCCCCCTCTTCCTTTTGGAAATCTTCTCTTCCCTTGAGCTCCAGGTTCTTTTCTCCTGGATTTCCTCTTTCCTTCTGGGCAGCTGTCTCCGTGGCTCCTTGTCCCCTACTAGCCTGTAAATGTGGCTGATCCCCGAGGCCCTGTCCTGACCCTGTTTCCTCTCACTGTGGCAGACATGCATAGCCAATAGCTTATAGGGAACATATATTTTGGGGGGAACATATATTTTTGATATTTATTTATTTATTTATTTGAGAGAGAGAAATATTTCAAAAACAAGCACTGGGAGGAGCAGAAGAAGAGGGACAGGCTGACTGCCTCTGAGCACGGAGTCTGACTCAGAACTCCATCACAAGACTATGAAATCATGAGGAGCCTAAACCAAGAGTCGGATGCTTAACTGACTAAGCTACCTAGGTGCCCCCAACAATACCTGTATTATTAAGAGGCTTAAAAAGCTCTTCCAAGCTTTCCTGGGTGAATCTTGCTTTGCATTCAATGGCCTCACCTCTCAGCAGGTTTGGCTGGCACAACCAGATGTCCAGCCAGACCTGTCCTAGGCACCAGGCCACAAAACTGCTCAGTTCTTCCCCCTAACCCCAGAACTTCTATCCCAGGCCTGTCCCTTCTCCCATCTTCTCCTTCCTGGTGAAGGGCACCACCGTTGCCCTGGAGGGCAAGATCCACATCTGTTAGTTCGGCTACAAAGCTCAGTTGGGGCCTGCATCACCTCTGTGAGCAGCCTGCTGACTGTCTAGCTGGACCACCCAGGTTTCAGTTAGCAGACAGCAATGCCTTTGCAGCACCCCTTCTCCTGTGGGGAACCCCTGCCCCGCCCCTTCCAGACAACACCAATTCCTCTTTCACATCCTGACTTGCCAGTTCAGTGGCCCCAACCAGCCATTTACCCTGTCTGTGCCTGGGCTTCCCTGGTTCTCAAAGTGAGAGTAAGAGACTAGTTCCTGCCTTGTGGGGTGGTTGTCCGCACTTAGAGCAGTGCCTGGCACACAGCGCTCCGGAGATGTGGTCTGTTTCCTTGGTAGGTGCCAGCCTCCTGGACCCCGCACCTGCCCAGTGCCCCCTGGCTTTCCTGCTTTTACCTGGTCCAGTTTCAGGGTCCTACCATTTCCTTTTCCAGCTGTTTTCTCCCTAATTGGCTGGAAGTCCCCCTCACGCCCCCCCACCCCCAAAGGCAGGGACCAGTTGTAATTCCTGATGTATTCCAAGTGTCTACCGTATAGTACTTGACCCATGAAGGAGAGGTGCTCACCAAGGGTTAACCGTTTGGTTGGCTGAATTAACTCAATGAATAAACCATCTATTAACAATAGTTAAGAACACCTGTGCACTGTTGCCATGTGCCTCTGGACTGGACAGCTTCTTGGATGACTTTGTGCAAGTTCATTGAACCTCTCAGCTTCTCATCTATAAAATGGGATGCTAGCACCCACCTTTTAATTAGATAACCTATACAGAGGACTCAGCACAGGGCTCAGTAAATATTAGCTGCTCGCAGTGGCAGTAGTTGCAGCTGTGGTTGGCTGAGCACGCAAATTTAGAAGGACAAAAATGAGAGCAAAAAGCAGCATGGAAAATGAAGGATGACATTAGTGTCATAGGACACCCCAAGATATCTCTTCTAACCGACAGTAATGAAACATCCAAGAACAGAGCATGCGTAGGGTTTGCAGTGTTTGGGGAAGGCTGTTCCAAAAAATAGCTTGTTAATTTAAAAAAAAAAAAAAAGAAAAGAAAAATGTCTTCCCAATATAAATAAAAGGCCTCAAGAGAGCGGCTGTTGAAATCAAATTTCCTTAACCAAGTCCCTTTTATCTAAAATCTGGGTTTTTTTCTTTGTTTCTGTCTTTTAACAAATGTGGCTTTGGGTTTGTTGTTTTTACCTTTTCTAAGCTTGTGATTGACTTTGTTGCTGCACGTGGAGCGACATAATAGACAGTGACAAACAAGGAGGGAGCATGTTTTGTAAAGGGAGAAAAGCTCCCCAAGATAGACTGCCCAGAGTGTTCAGGTTAGTTCCGGCTGTGAAGCTAGGGGTGGCAGGGGAGGCAGGGCTCTCCTGAGGTCCTTACTCCTTATGCCCGGGTGGTGCTCTGCTGGATGACACCCAGGGACTTGATTCAGCCAGTCCGGGTGGGGCCTGGGTGCACTCTGGTAATCACCACAGGGATCTGAAGCCTTCGGTTTGCAGAACATCGCCAAGAGAGCCTCATCTAGGTTTTAGGGGCTCCAAGGGAGGAGGGTCTAGGCAGGAACTGGCTCCATTTCTGGCTGTAAGCCCATGTGGACATTTTGTGCTGAGAGAGCAGGTTTTGGCTCAGCCCATAGCTCTGGACCAGGCATCCACCTCTTTCCAGGAGCCCAGAAACACATACTGAAGCCATCAGTCCATAGGACTGTGATCCCATTTGATCAAAGCACAGGGCAAGGGACCACATGGAGAAAGGCCACTCCTGGCACCTTGTTACCTTTAAGCCTTAATGGGGTCATCTATTTATCACATGTTTCTGTTGCATTTGTTTCCAGCAAGCGTGAAGCCAATGGGCTACTACCTGGCTAGAGCTCTTAGCCTGTGGCCATCTCCACACCGAGGACTTGATTGGAGAGGGAAAGCCACCCAAGGATTTAGACAGCTCCACTGCTAATGATGATGATTTTGGCCAGTCTGATTCAAATATCCATGTGTTAGGTTGTCTGCTTCTCAAGGAAAAAGGCTCTTCTCAACTCTGCATCTTCTAGAGGACCCAATCCAGTGCTGACAGCACAGTACCCCCTCAGATGAGTGGTGGCTGCCTGCATCTGTCCGAGGGTCAGCCTGGGCAGATGCCCCTGCCCCATGCCCTCCAAGCCCACTTGGGCTGCTCTGCTGCCCTGGGATGTCCTTTCCCCTCCCTGCTGTGCTCTGTCCAGGAGGTGGTGCAGGAAAAGTGTTCCGTCTGACACCCGTGGGGTGGTTTTGAGACCGCTCTCAGGAAAAACTGTCCCCATGTGACAGTGTGATGCGTCGTGGTGGGGACAGAGGAGGCTTCCCAAAGCTGCAGTGCCCTGGCTTCACCGAGATCAGAAGCAGGGCCCCAGGGCCAAGGAAGCATTACGGTGCCGAAGGAGGGAGCGCTCAAACTCGGGTGGTAGATCCTTGTGTTCGGTTCTGTCCCACTGTGATCCGGGGCCCCTGACCCTGGCCGGCCACACACACAAGTGGAAGAACTAAGTCATGCCCTTGCTCTTTCTCCAAACCCAGCAGGAGGCCGGAGGCCAGGGGGCGGGGCCAGGGCCGGTGGCGGGGCCAGGGCCAGGGGGCGGGGCGGCCGGTATAAGCCTGTGCCCTGCTGCCTGGGCACCTGCCGCGCGTGCTCGGGGTCTCCCGCTCCTCGCGCTTGCCGCTGTCGGAGGTAGCAGGAGGCCTGGCGTGCTTGAAAAGTGGGAGCCCGCGGTGCGTGAGGAGGAGGAGGAGACCTGGGTGGGGACCCCAGCGGCGGCAAGTGTGCCTTCCTTCGGGGGCAGCTTGAACAAAGATCCTTCCCAAGTCGGGAAGGGCGGGCAGGGCCCGGGGTCGATGCCGTCTCGGAAACGGACAGGGTTGCAGGTAGCACGAGAATCTGGGCGGGCGGGAGTTAATACTAGAAGGTCATTAGGTTTCCCAGAATGCAGTTTGGCCTGCCCGCAGGTGCCGGCTCCCTATTACGTGGGGAGAGGAGCGCGCCCACCCCAGGCCCAGTCTCTGCCGTGGCGGTGCTTGGTTGTGCCGGGAGCGCTGCAAGCGCGGCCGGAGGGCTTCACTGCCGAAGGCCCAGCCCCAGCGTCTGGAGGTCCCCTCGGGGCCTTGGGCCCAGTGAGTGTTGCATGGGTAGCCTGGAGTTTGAAATACATCTCAGCTTTTAAAATCTTTTCTTTGTGAAAATAGGGATGCCTGGGTGGCTCAGTGGTGAAGTGTGTGCCCTCGGCTCAGGTCATGATCTCAGGGTCCTGGGATCCAGCCCCCTATTGGGCTCCCTACTCAGCCGGGAGTCGGCCTCTCCCTCTGCGCGCCCCACCGCCTGCTCATGCTCTCTCCCTCTCCCTCTTGCTCACTCTCTCAAATAAATAAAATCTTTAAAAAAAAAAAAAAAAAAAACAAGAAAATACAAGTTAATTTTACCAACGGTGCCTTTGGTCAGTGAGGAAGGGCGCCTGACACATTCAACTTCTTTCCAGAACAGTTCTGGGTAGTTGTGCAACTCTAAATTTAATCCAAAGCCTACATTTCCAGGGGTGAGTGTGCTGTAGGAAGCCGTCTGTGGACAAATGAGGATAATAGTTTGAGCGAATTAGCAAGTCTGGAGAGGAGGGCCCATCAGCAGAATGACAAATTTAGGATCTTTAAAGACATCTGGTCAGCGATGCCGGAGCTCATGATTGACTGAGTGATTAATAATGGAAACCCCTTAGTTCAGTGTTTCTGCTATCCCTCGCCCACTTCCCCAGCCAGGGCGGGCTGTCTGCTCCAGCCTGCCAGAGACGTTTCCAGCTGAACAATGGAGCCATTGAGGCCCCTAGTCCTCCACCTCTGTGAGCTTAAGGTTTCAGTTGTCTTCTTCTTATCCAACTTATCTGTGTGTTTCCTATTTGACAAGTCATGGAGAGAGCTCCTGATTCCCTTTCACGTTGATGCGATTCCATTCGGTGTCATCAGTGCTGCATTCCAAGAGCCTCCGGCCAGCCAGAACCTCACATCTCAGGGTCACGTGGATTTAGGGCTCCTGGCTCACTATCCAGAGCTGCCCGCAGACACAGACAGCAGTGGAGCACACTGAAGGCCTTAGGTTGGCCATTGTCTCCCTTGCTCTCTAAAGCTTGTTGCCCCCATGTGTCGGGATCCATCCCTAACTCTGTGGTGGATTTCTCTGCAGGCTAAAGCAGCTGGACAAGCACAGCCAGGCCACGGCCCAGCAGCTGGTACAGCTTCTCAACAAGCAGAACCAGCTTCTGCTGGAGAGACAGAGTCTGTCAGAAGAGGTGGGGCGTCTGAGATCCCAGGTACTGTGTAAACCTAATGCAGGGGTGGGGATCTTCAGGGCCAGCTCACCTACCAGGGAGCCCAGCAGGGGTCTGCATATGGGTCTTATTCTTGTTCCTTTCTTCAGAGCTGTATCTTCGCAGGTGAAACCCCCAAGTGATCACGTGGCTTAGCTAGTAAGCCGGCAGGGGGATCCTGAAGACAGTGCTGGGCATTGTGGGAGACATGGGTTACATGGGCCACCAGCCTGCTGTCTTTAGGGAGCTAAAGTTTGTGTGCAAGAACAACCCACGATCGAACAGGCCACGCTAAGTGCTGAGCTGTGTGTGGGCACGGTTCCCTCGTGGCACAGCCAGTGGAAAGATGCAGAGGGCTGTAGTGGTGAGCAGGCTTTCTGCAGGAGGCAGACTCAGAACTGCCACTCGGGATGTGTATGGTTTGAATTGGTTGAGGAAAGAGGCGCTGCCAGTTGGGGGAGCCACTGTGAGTGGAATGCAGAGGTCTTGTCTGAAGTCAGCTGTGGGATAACCGAGCTGAGCTTCCGAGTGCTTGTGGAAGGTCTGGCAGCACTGCACGGACTCTTGTTACCCTTGAACGAGCCTGCAAGATGGATTATTGTCTCCACTTTGCAGATAGGGAAACTGAGGCACAAATAGCCTGTACAGCTAGCAAGTAGGGACACTACCAGTGGCACCTAAGTCTGATGCAACAGCCCAGGCCTTCACCATTGAGGTTCTATCTGGGGCTGCCAAAAGGGGTAATGGAGGAAAGAGAATATCCAGGGGAGTCTGGAGTGTGCAATGAGACTTCTTTCCCCAAAGTTGCTTCTCTTCCTGTCAGAGAAGCTGTACTTTGTGCCCCATCAAACAGTTGTCAGGATAATAGGATGGTTCAGGGCCTGGCCATGGTCTCCGCTTTGGATTAGGATGGCACCCAGACGCCTTCTGAACACCTGGGGATGCCACACAGCGAGTGCTTGGAATGATTAATGGGAAAAATGTCTCTCGAAATGAAAAGGATGGGAAACTGTCTCTCATTCTTTCAAATGTGCCAAACGGATACTGGGGAGCTGCTGTCCTCTGAGTGAATTTTCATATTCAGTGAACCAAATCCCCTGCCATATACTACTCATTTTTCCACGTATAGTAAGAGGATGCTCCCAGTCACTGAATTAAGGCCTGGGGTTGGGGACCCACCTATACTCTGCGCCCTGGTGATACTCATGCCACGCAGCACAGTCGTCCGGCAAGCTTGTAAATGGGCAATCTTGAGGAACACGGATTCCGGGGCCTGTGTTCACACAGGCTAGGAATCTGCATTTTAACAAGCTGGTTGGATAATTCTGAGGGACATGGAGGTTTGAGAACCTCTGAAATATTTGGAGGCAGAAAGGGTGGAGCATGATTCCAGACTGTTCTGCTGTTGTGAGGATCGGAATAAGTCAACTGAAGTCTAACCCCAAGGGATACTGGAATTGTCATGAGTATAGCCCTCAGGTGCTGCACAGAATCACTTGTACACGGTAGGCCCAGGAAATGTCAGGGCTTTCCCTTGCCTCTCCCCGCCCAAGGCCTAAGGAGGCCCAGCAGAAGCGTGAGAAGGCAGAGGCCTCTGGGGCCAGCAGCACTGTGCCCACTGCTCCCCTGCTCTTCTCCGACGCCCTCAGGCCCCTCCCACGGCCCCTGTGGGGCCGACGCGGGCCACACTCTAAATGCCTGGGTAGGTCCTACAGGAGGCCCTGGTGGTGCCTGCCAAGGATTTGGGGCCACCGGCTCTCTAGGCAGGTGACTGGGCTCCTGTCACACGTGGTGGAACAGAGGCTCATAGCATGAGCAAATCTTTTGGCTCTAGGAGCCAAGAACCACTTCAGAATGACTTGTGGGGAGTCTTCTGTACGGGCTCCGAGCACATGGTAGTTTCCTGTCCATTCTGGACCAGATCATTATCATGTAGGGTTTCCCTTTTAACTCCCCATCTGCCTACCTTACAATCACTCAGATCTTAACATGGACCATCAATGCTTAGAAACCTCTTCCAGGGCTTTAAAAACTTGATAATTGCCAAATGGATTGCGAAAGTTTCATAAAATGCATTAAAAAAAAAAAAAAAAAACCAAAACCTCAGAAAATCCTTAGAAAAATGAGCAGGTCTTTCTTCTCTTGCCTGAAGCAACAGAGATGATTTGACCATCCTGAGTTATCTGATACCAGCCCATCTGGCTCATCTCTAAAGGGATCTTTCAGATTCAAATAGTACATTTGGAGTTATTTTAATATGAACACGACAAAAGAAATTTCATAGAGGGACTGTTGGCTTTCAGTAGCAAATACTACTGTTCAAAGGAGAGGCAGGGATCCAGTTTTGCAAGTTCTCTGCTGAATATCTAAACCACAGCCCTGCTCTTTCTACCCAAGTGTGGTGTTACACCTCCTTTGGCCATGGAATACCCTGGAACTGTGACTTTAGCTTCCAGCCCCCGAAGTGAACAAGGCCACTGTGCGCCCTTAGCAAGGATGTCAGAGGTAACTGCCTGCTGCAAGCTCCCAAGTGATCAACTGTGCTCCCTGTTTTCCTGGAGGGACACTGGTTCATCTCTGCCTAGGGATGGCTTCCGTTTTCTCAGCCTGGGTGGATTAGGCATAATGACTTAATTGTGTATGTCAAACTATATGTCTCTCTGCCCACCCACCACCCAACAGAAAGTGGAGATTTCCTGGCCTGGGCAGCTGCTCTGTGGCTGAGTCCCATGCCTCTGGTTTGCTCCTGTGTCCTGAGCCCTGGGCCCTGGAGCAGATGACAGGCCTCGGGTTGGCTTGTGGTCTCTGACAGGAAGCAGCTATGTCTATTCAGAAGGCTTATTATTCTAAATGGTTTCTGCTTAAATTCAGAAAGGCACACAACAGCATGTCTGGCAGAGGGAGATGGTCATCGTTGTAACTGGGCCACAGTGACATTTTTAACCATGAGGATTCCCGGCTTGGCCTCACATTGCTCTCGTGCAGGGAGCCAGTCAGGTGCAGGGTGCCCACCACTCATCAGGGCTTCTTGTCTGACTTATTATTTGTGTGACTGGAAACTGGCCTTGTCACTCTCCTGCCTCATGCTGCAGACAGGTGACTTCCAGAAAATGGCTTTTAAAACGTCCCCCAATGGCTTTGCTGGTCACTGTGGAGAAACAGAAGAGCCTGAAGACACCCACCCAGGCTGACTGCAAACACAGCCCCCCAGGCCGTCCCCGGGCACAGCAGGCAGCTCTGTCACAGGCGGGGCTGGGCACTTGCCCTGTCACCTCTTCTTGGGGTGACAGAGAGACTCTGGCCATGGTGGCATGGGGCTGGTGTCCGAGGCGACAGGGGAATGCAGGCAGGGCCTGGCAGCTGGCAGCAGGGGCGCTGTTCTGAACGACCCAGCACCCTGGGGCTCTAACATCTGGCCAGGAAGGGAGGTGCCAGCTGCTGAGGAAATCAGCCTTTTCTTGGGGAGAAAAGCATCTGAGAGATGGGAAGAAACAGAAATTGGCCATTTCGAGGATGGCTTTATACAGCTGAGACTTTGCCTGTGTACTGCTACTCACTGGGCAATGACTCGGGGTTCAGCAGATTGGCATTTGGTGATAGCCGCCTTCTCCACAGGCCTGGGGCTCTGTGGTCAGTGCTCCGTCTGGGGAGGGGCTCCCTTTCCTCCCTGCGGAGGAAACATTTCTACAGGCAGGAAGCAGCTCCAGAGGCTGACTTATCAGTGATGAATCAGTTGGCCCTGTGACTTTTGAGCATTCTTGGCAGTGAATGGACTTTCTAATTTGATTCAAACTCCTGCGTGGATCCAGCAGCCATATGTGATTATATTCAAAATCATGGACATTATCTCATTACTCTGAAGGGCCCGTGCAAGAGAGCCCAAATGAGCACAAGAAATGGGCACAGAGGAGCAGGGAAGGCAGGACCCATTTGTGACCTGAAGCTTCAGAAATGCCAACTCACGTGAGGGCCACCAGGCAGGGGTCCTGCTGAGGAGAGGGCGCCAGCAGCTCCTCCAGGGTGGGCCCTGGAGGTGTACACAGGTTTGCAGGGGTCCTTCCTGTGCCCTGGGGGCCTCGCCCGGCTCCCGTGGGCGCTTCCACAAAGTTAGCTACCTGCAGGACAGATGGTGCTTGAATAGAACAGCAAATACACTGAATAAAATAAATTAGAAAGCCTCCTCCTGAACCAAGATTTTTTGGAAAGAATTCTAAATAGATGAAAACAAACAATTTGATTTCAACCAAATTGTTGTTTTTTTGTTTTTATCCTGATTTTCACCCGAATTGTCAGTCTCAAAAATAAACACTGATACATTCCCAGAAAATATTTTTCAAATAAAAACTGACTCTGTTAAAGTTTGCCCTGATTCTTTCAAAACTGTGTACAAGACACTGTCAACCAAAGTGACTTGCATATTTTTTTAAATACACTTGAACATATGCAGCTAAAATGTCATTAACTCCCTGCTGCCTGAATGTTTTTAAAGAGTGACACGAGACCCCTGGTGCTGCGTTTCTAACATAAGGGTCTCATGACCCTCAGACTAACTTCCCTGAGCAACTCAAATAGCATAGTTTAACTTTCTTTTTTTCCCTCTTCATGGAAGGCCCTGTGTGTAATTAATATTGAAAAGCACATACGGCTCTATTGAAGCCACACTTGCTCTCCCGTTAACAGTTCACTTTGTCCAAGAGTGAATAATTTCAGAATGAGACTCATGGAAGAAAAATAAATGGGATTTTCTGTTGCTTCAGATACATACTTGCTGCACTTATTGCTTCCTGAGTCAGACATTACATTTTGCAATATAAATTCACAATCAAGATTTTAAAGGGAGCTAAATATTTTAATCCAATTAGACAAGTGAACAAAACACTGAATATTGCATGGAGTGTAGAGAAGTGGTTCTTGCCTTTAAAAGACTGTGATTCCGTCACATTACAACCCCAAATGTCAGTGTTGTCTTTATTCTTAACGCTTTCAAACATGAGGCAGCCAGAGGCTCCTCTCTCTGCTGTTGGTGACACTGTCTGTCCTTTGGGAATTCTTAAAAAATCTATTTACCATGGAAACATGGTCCCTATAAAACGCAGACACCTGCCCATGTGCAGAGAAAGTTCGCAGGACTCGCGGGATTCCAGAAAGCTGGAAGACTACACAGCCGCATGGCACGAGGTGTAGGACTCTTGTGTCTGCAGAGCTCTGGGGAGGAGCGGCGCCCTGGCACTCTGACCCGGGCCCTGGGCGCACAGGCCTCCCGCCTCCCCGCGGGGCTGAGGGTCCCTGGTCCAGCCACAGCTTCTGTTTTCCAGAAAGCCGAGGAATCATTGGCCTGCCTTCGTTCTGTAAGGCTTTCCTGCCTCTACCTTTCCTTTCTCTGGCTTCTATGGCCCCTTCCCTCTTGGGGAGCCCAGAGGCAGGGAGCCAGGCCCATGGTCCCCGTGGTCTAGGGCACCTGGGGCCCTGACCTGTGGTTGTCAGAGGCCGGGCCGGGCAGCCCGAGGGGAGAAGGGACCCCCGGGTGTGCCAACAGCTGGATTCCAGGAAGGTCAGCTAGCGTGTGGGTCACTCCCCTGGGCACAAGGCAGGCCTCTGCTGACTCGGGAGCACCCGCCGTGTGCCTTGCGGCATCTGTCACATCTCAGTCCCCCCTACAGGCCACATTCCGCGAAGTGTGCAGAGGACTGGTGAGGACAGCTTCCTCCAGAGCCAGTCGGTGACCACTCAGTCCATGAAGCCCGTGTATGCAGCTGCCCTTCGGGCTCTGGCCTTCCAGATCACCCTTGGTGGCTTGTGTGCTCTTTCGCATGAAAGAGCCAGGATTTGGAGGTCGCACTGCCGGGGTTCAGATCTCCTCTCTGTACCACTCCTGGCAAATTGTGTAGCTTTCCTATCACTCAGGTCCTGGTCAAAATTGAACCCAAACCCAAAGAAAAACCCTTAAACCTAAAACAAAATCCCAAAACAACAACAAAAACACAAAAAAAACAAACCCTTAAAACTAGAGCCAGCCTCCCTCAAGAGGGACCCCCGCATGACCCTGCCTCCAGCACAGGTGACCATGAGGCCAGCCCGGGTGGTGCGGAGATCATGGGCGTCAAGGGGCCACTGCATCAGTCATTTGATGTCCTTCCCCAACAGGCAGGACAAATGAGGCCTAGAGATGAGGTGAGCAGAACTGGAAAGTGAATGGCAGGGAGGTGAACTTCTTGACAATGTGGTGTTCAGTCCCCCGGGGCGCGGGCTGTGTGGACGGGTGGGTGTCCACCTGTGTGTCTCTCGGAGCAGCCAGCTCTGGCTCCCCGACAGACAGTCGGTTCTGGTGGCTTCCCCGGAGCTCTGCTCCCTGGGGACAAGCTTCAGAAGCCCCAGCAGAGGTGGGGGCCGGACTCTCGTGTCCGGTTAAAAATAGAGGCTTTCTGGCCAGAGGCACAGGAACAGGGCCATTTTTTGACCTGGCCACACAGAGACAGGAAATGTGCAGATGAGCACGTCTGGGGGGACCAGTGCGTGGGGGTCCGCAGAGAGGAGCCGCGGGTGGTGGGAATGCGGGTCAGGCCGAGGCTGAGCAGGCGGGGGCCCGCCCCGGGGGGCGGAGAAGGCCCCGCGGCCCCACGGTGTGTTAGCTGGGGAGCCGTTCGGAGCACCCGGGGAGGCTCCGGTTTTCGACTCCGAATTTCAAGTCGAACCCCGGGAAGAAACACAGAAGGGAGGGTTTGTGGAGAGAAGGCTGTTAGGGCTCGGAGCAGCGGGCGCCGGGGGGGCGCCTCTCTGGCGTGGGGGAGCGTCTCCGACGAGCCTCAGCCCCGGTGCCCGCCGCCTCCCCCGCAGCCGGGCCGGCTTCCTGCCCGACGGCGGCGCCGCTTGGCTCCCGGGCCGGGCAAGCTCGTCCCGAAGCTCCGGCAACACGCGGGGAGCGGCCCCCGACGTCTGCGCGGCCGCAGGACGGCCCTGGCATCACCGCCAAGCCGAGGTCAGGCCGGCAGGAGCGCAGGCTGGGGCTGCGGGGCCCCGGCGGACAGCTGCTCCGGCCGAGCCGCAGGCCCCACGCACCCGGCAGAGGCCCGCGCCCTCACGCTCGGGTTGCAGTCTGGGTGACGCCTCTTTGGACCGCACCTCTGCTCCGTGCGCGGCCCGGGGGGGGGGGGGGGGGCTTCTACCTGGGGTCCGGTCACATCCTCCGCTTGCCTGTCCCGTTCCTGCCTCGTCGGAGTCCGCACGCGCGCCCGCTGGTTCTCACGATGCCGCAGCCCCTGCGGGCGCTCGCGCGTGGGCCGGTGGGCTGCGCGCCTGCCGGCCCGGCTGCCTTCCTACTCACGGCTCCGGGCACCAGGGAGGAGCGGGAGGAGCCTGCCCGGGTGTAAACGTTACCTTTTTGCATTTTTCAAAAGAGGCAACAGACTGAATCCCCTATTTCTCTTGCGTGGATTCTGATCTCTCCCTCACTGTCCTGTGTCGGAAATCCTCAAGTAACCGTGGCTCAGCCTGGGTTCCCAGAGGGCCCCGGCCCCCCTGCCAATTCTAGCTCAGGAAATGTGCATTGGGGTGTGTGCAAAGGCCCACGCATCTTTCTGGAAGATGGTTGCCAGCCAGCCAGAGGGGGCTGCGCACCATCTTAGGACCTCCCGCTCCTCGAGGGCAAGGACTGTGCCTTATTCATCTTCCCATGTGGTACAGGGTAGGTAGACAGTAGGGGCCTTCTGTGGAGTGCAGCTGTTTGCCATGGTTTCTGGCACCGCTTCTGGCCGTGGCTTAAGCTAACCTGAGCAGCCACGTGGGCCAGGGCGGACAATGGTATTCTCAACTCCACTGATCTGTCACTCCTTCAACCCAGTTTTCACGACCTAGTCTTGAAACATTTATTCTTGTTTATTTTTCTATTTTTATTTTTTAAAAGAATTTATTTATTTGAGAGAGATAGTGAGCACAAGCCGGGAGAGGGGCAGAGAGGGAGAAGCGACTCCCCACTGAGCAGAGAGCCTGATGTGGGGCTCGATCCCAAGACCTGAGATCGTGACCAGTCGAAGGTAGATGGTTCGGCTCCTGAGAGCCCCCCCAGGCGCCCCAGATTTATTCCTGTTTAAAATGAAGAGGCCAGATACACAAAATTCCCTCTTCCAGCATGCAGGAGGTGGTTTCCATGTGAAAAAAAAATGCCTTTATAGATGTCATAATAAAGTGACTCTAAAAATTTGGGAGGTTTTAGCTCGTTTTGATTTCACTAGGAATTTCTGAGAGACACACGGCCTACATCCTGTTTTTGTTCTAGCTTCAGCAGCTGTAATCCGTAAACACACCCTGGCATGGATCGAGGTCTCCTTCCCAGGACAGGGAAGTGGTGGCTCGCCAGCCTTGCCCTGTCACTGGACTGCCAATCCTCAAGAGGCAGACACACGTCTGGAGTCCAGGTGGTTTTTAGATTTAAAGCCTTTAAACAAAATAGTTCACTTCACTCTTCTATCTGACAAGGCCTTTGATCCATGTTTGGGGGGAGCGCACGCTTTTCCTGCATCTGCTTACATACACTCTCTGCGTTTTTAGCAAGAGTTGTTTTTCTCTGTAAACATAGAAGGGGTACCTCTCAACCAGCAGAAGACAAATCACAGGGAAGAACAGGATCTATTTAAATTCACTTTTTATTTTCTTTTTTTTTTTTTTTTTCCAGTTACCCAGCATGCGACAATCTGATTGCTGACCTGGACGAAACAGAGTGAAAGAAATGGTTTACAAAGAGATATTTACATTCATCTGATTTGTTCGTGAGATGCCACAACGCACCACAACCTTGCCAGCGGCCAGAGCCTTGGAGGGCAGCGGGCTGCTGGGTCCGTGCCCTGTCCACTGCCTGGAGACACCTGCGAGCCGGGCGGGCTGCAGCTCAGCTCTGGTGCCAGACAAGGAGCCCTCCTGCAGGATGTTTCCAGAAATGGCTTGAAGTGATTATGTTTTTAGATATGCTCATTTGTAATGCTGTTACACATATGGATTTCAATAAATGAACTTTTTAAAGACCTGAATTGTAATGTTTCCTTTTTACCTTGTAGTGATGAACGAAACACACCAAAAAGGCACATATTTTAACTAGGCCAAAGGGTACGAAGGACCAGACTTTCTTCCTGCCATTCACGTTTCCTTCCCTCTTCAGGAGCTAGGGATCATCCTCCCACTGCTTATGCTTTGAATCAACATCTCAGAAGTCTCCCATTATTTATCATCCTGCTACTCTTTGCACAGTCAGGAGGCATCAGGAAGCACTCTGTATCCTGTCCACTGTTCACAACGAAAACAGACAAGAAAGTGTCTTTGGCTTGGTGGTCGGGTCTCTTCTCCAATGTGCGGTATCTGAGAGAAGCCTACAAATGTACTTCGTGGAATTACAAAATTGACTTCGAGGTCTAGCAGGTATCTGTACACAGATCATTAGTTTGAGTATTTCTACTACACACAGTTAAGCCCTCAGATGCTTAAAAGTAATAGAAACGGGCACTGAAAGTGTCGTGTTGTCTCTGAGAAGGACAGTGAAGCAGTAAAGGCAAGGCTGCAGGCGGAGGCCCAGACCTCAGGCAGGTCTCCTGGCTAGCCGGCAGGCATGAGGCCAACCCCCCCCCCCCCCCGCCCTCCCCGGCCCCCCTCCCTGGGCCCCCTGTGGCCTCTCGGGAAGGGCCGAGATTAGGCTTTGGAGGCGCTGGGATGATACACACGCAAAGACCTGTTCTCAAGTCTCTGGAGCATGGAAAAGGTTCCAGCCTGAGAGAGCAGAACTTCTATCTGGATTCAGTGTTTGATTTGCTCTAACGTGCTAGACATCAAGGTTGTCACGTAAGAGCGGTTAGTCGTCCCTAATTGTTTTAGGACTACAGTAAGTAAATCACACGATATTCTACAAATAGCACCCTTAAAGAATTGTAGAGGTCACTTTATGTTAGCCTCCTGGATCTGTCCATCCCGGTGGTTGTGCGGTAAGAGCACATGGAAGAATGCCCTCAGATTCGGCGTGCGACATACGCATGCGTGCCTGCCTGACTTTGGTCCCAAAGCCAATTAGTCACATGAGCAAAGCCAAGTCTGTACAAGAGTAGGTTTATGAGGTAAAATCAGAAAAAGTCCCCATCCAAAACAAGTCTAGATGATCAGGCTGTACGCCAGCCGCCCTACCCACCTCTCACCCACGACTAAGTTTGTTCATTTGCCAACACACACTCTGAGGAAGAAGTTTGCAGAGCCACATGGGTAACGTCCTCAGGAAGACTCAACTACCGAGGAGCGACACTCCTGAAGCGTCCCGGCCCGAGCCGCCTGGTGGGAAGTTAGGAGGAGACCTTCTTCCTGCCCCAGAACTGTCGCGGAGCCGTCGGCACCTCCCCGTCAGAAGCGGGGCCCCTCGTCCACGTTGGCACAACCGCACTACTGCCATCTTAGTGAAGTAGGAGCGCAGCCATCCTGTGTGTGACCTGGGCTAGGAGAGACGGACGTCATTCTCCTGCACACTTTGGGGGGGGGTTAATACCAGCTGGAGCTATTAAGAATCCTTTTTTTTTCCAGAAAAGAATAATATTCCATTTTCTGAGACTACAGAACCACGTCCAACAACAATAAACAGAGAAGTAGCAGATTGACATAGTGCTTTATTTAAGCCGTCTGTACGAAGGAAAATAATGTGCATCCCTATCATATACGTGTAAAAATACTAAGGATGTACAGTGTACAAAAACAGTTTCTTGTAGTTATTTCACATCCTTGTGGGTCATATGCTTAAAGAAATGAACAGTTTTAGTATGACCGACAATAATAGTAATACAGTTTTTCTTGGGTTCATAGTTGCGTCTGCTTAAAATCCTTAACCAGATGACTAGATCTTGCGCGGATCTAATGAAAGAACTAGCAAGGTCAAGAAATGTCACAAACTATAAAGCTACAGGGAGGTAATTCAATTACCAATTTAGAGGTTTTCTTTTTATTTAAATAAATACTTTACATTTCATGCTTGCCTGTAACGCACTACCAGGAGCAAGATAAGGAGATTCTACTGTAGACAGTACGAACAGTAGCAGCAAAGTGTGTACGTTGAGGTGTAATACGGAGACCCTGCAGTTAGTGGGGCGGCCCTCCCTCCTGCCCTCGAGGAGAAGCGAGGGGCCCCTGCAAGAACAGTCAGCGGGAAGAAGCCGGAACCAGGACCGGGCGCTGCAAACAATACTGGACTGACGCTACGGAGCGAGTGTAGAAAGCAAAGCCGGGAGCAGCCTGCCAGCGACCCAAGCGGACACGGCCCGTCCCCCGATGGCGGCGCGGACGCGAGAGGGCAGGCGCCGGGGGAGTCGGGCGGGGCGGGGCGGCGCGGGACCTCCACGCACGGGCACGCACACGCACACGCACGTACTCGCGTGCGTACGCACGCACTCTCACGCACGCGTCAGCTTTCCCGCCCTCCCTCCCCCCCTCTCCCCCGGGCGCGAGCGCCAAGCGGAGGCTGCGCCTGGAAGCCACGGAGACGCCCGCGGCCCGAGGGAGCGAGCCCGGCTCGCGGCCGGCCAGCGGTCACCCGTCCTCAGGAGGCGTCCTTGGCCAAGGTCACGGAAGTCCCCTGAGGGGGGGAAGCTACGGAAGTGCTTGGTGTACGGGGTCGCCTCCCCCTCCAAGGGCCGAGAGGGTCTGCGGCTCCGCAGGACCGGGCGCCTCAGCCGCCCGCTCGGCCTCGCACCCGCGCCCCTCAGCCCTGACGATGCGAGACGACTTACGGGACACACCTTCTAGGCTACTCTCTGGTCCAGGTGAGACAGTCAACAGAATTCCAAGGGGGAAGAAGTGAAGCTACATGTGTAAGTAAGAATGAACTACCATTTCCTGTAACTTCCTACTCCATGCTAAGGATGAACTTCACTCAGGTAGGAAGATGAAAAATTAGGATAAAACCTATGTCTGAATATGTCTTAGCTGCCTTAGTAAAATGCCCTTTGACCCCCGTCAGTCCCAGTGGCCTGCCCACCGCCAGCAGTGGTGTCTCGTCTACAGATCCACACTCCAGCGTCCGAGGCTAAGACATCTGCATATGAATGGGATTCATCCTCCTCAGAAAGTCACTTGCTCCTCTGACAACAGTGATCCCACGTCACGCTGCCGTCCTCCACGGGGAGCTGTCAGATCGGGTGACCACATCCTTCTCCAGGATCGCAGCCACGGCCCTGGCCCCTGGACTTCATAGGCTGCTTTGGAAAATGTCAGCTCCTAGCACCAAAGGGTTTAATCTGAAGATCATCATTAATGAAGGAGAAAGATGAGGTTTGCATACATGTCCCCTTTCAGTGAGAAATGTTGGAATCTGGGGACATGAGTATATACAGAAAAAGAAAAGTTGGAGGTGTTCTTTTTGTGTGTTGTTTTGTTTTCTCCCTGATGGCTTAAATCAGTGATAAATGTACCATGATCGGAATAAACACACCAGGTTCTTATCCCTTACTGCCTACTCTGAATACTCGAGATGTGCGCATTTTGCCAAGTACGGTGCATTTGTCACGGTCACGCAGATTCTGTTTCCTTCACGGCCCCGTGTCACCAGGCCGTCAGAGCATTTCCATCTCAAACGAGCAACAGCAACATCCTTCCATCTCCTTAACCCCTCAGCACGGAGACCTGGGGATTTTCTCACTTTGAGCACCAAGGGGTTCAGTGCCAGCATCTCTTCTCCCAGAGCCCAATTCTAACCAATATGTACAATTTCAGAGCCTCATCAGATTTTGTTACAAAGGAGAAAAAGTGCATGATTCTCATTGGCGTGTACATTCCTTGCACATGGGTCAAAATAAACTGCAGTGAGTCTAGTTCATGTAAGTTGGAGCTGCATTTGCTAACATGACACACAATTTTTCTTCACTAAGAAATAAATACTACTGCAATATAAACAAAATCATAAAAGGACATTCAAAGGTTTAACATCCGAGAAAAAGCTAATCCACGAAGAACTGAAAGTCAAAACTTAAAACAAATAAGGCAAACACCTGTTTACCTTGGTGTACAAATTTTGGTGAAAAGCAGGATCATTATACCTGTCTACATTCTTCAGCCATCAGAGGTGATAAATATCAAGAAGGGAAAAAGGTTTCCAAGCACAGGGGGGGAAAAATGCTCTCTGGTGCAAATCGTGTCATAGAGCCTGTAAGCGACCTTGCCTCTGCTGTGCATATGCCTCCTTCCCTGGAAGAACAGTGTTCATCTTGCCAACGACCACCCGTGAAATCTGGATGTCCAGGTGGAATAGCGGGCTTCCTCAGCAGTGTCCAACAGGGACTACGTGTGTATCTATCGCTCTAGCTCAACAGTTGTTCGGTCCTTCTCTCAGATGCTTCCCTATGGATTCCGGCCAGGTCTGGGTGCGAGATCCCCATGGTACGCACTGATCTCCTGTGCCTTCCTAAATAAAATTCTGCATATGCACATCACCACCCTGCCACAATTGTTTGTTCTGAATTATAAACTAAATCTTCTTAGTCTAATTAGTTTTTGATTTATCTTCTAGAAAGTTAAAAAATGTACCTAGAATCAGTGTATCTCATTTAGCCTTCACTGTTAGGGAAAAACAAAAACTAAAAAATCGAAAGATGACAACTGGTGCACAAATGAACAATGGTGGGCTCATGACTTCCAAAGATTGTAAAATTACCTCTTAAAGTTGCTAGAATAGTAAGACAGTAGCAGCAGCAGCATGAGACCGTAGACGGAGATACAATTTCATGCAAAAACAAACAAGTGTGTTTGCGTACATGTGTGTTCTTGTGGGGGTGAGAGTGGGCTGGGGTGTCTGGAGGCGCTCCTGCTTTGTAAGAGCTACGACTGCTGTGATGTCCAGGAATCATCTTCAGGAAGAAATCTGGGATGACAGTGAAGGAGCAGAACGAGGGCCTTACTCCCGGCCGCTGGCGGAGTAGGAGAACTGAGGGAAGTGCGGCCGCCGCTCGTTGTCCACGCAGTCCATACCATCCTCGTCATCTGCGGGCAGAGAGTGGCCACTTAACGTCATGGTTACTCTTTGCAATGGTATCACTGGTCTATGTGGTTCTAACTTCTAGCACAATGAACATCAACAACGGCAAGTTCCTACAAACTCATGGCTCTTAACACAACACGGAGGAATTAAACTAACTCCCCAAACGATCTCCCTTTTAAGCACACCATCTGTGAAGAAATACCACCATCACATCGTCTCCTTCAAGCCATGAACATCTTAAGATTCAAGACACTATAAGGAACTACTATCGAAGAAAACCAGATTTTTAAAAATAAGATGGAGCGAATAATCTTCAGTAACCTTCAATTTCATGAAACTACACGTCAACATTTACAGAAGCCAGTCAGTCCTAAGGCACCAGAAGTATCCGTCTGGCATCTGGTCCCAACACCTTCAAATGTGTGGTTTATTTTTTTTTGGGGGGGGGGGGGGATGCTTTAGGTATGACTGTGAAATCAAGCTTTGTATGCATCCTTGATCTGACACTATTGACATTATTTACTCTCCATCTCATACCTGCCTTTGGTCACCATTTCCAGGTTCCCTAAGATGCAACATAATTTTTTTTTTAAGATTTTATTTATTTATGTGAGAGGTAGAGAGAGGGGGGGAGAGAGAAAGAAAGTGCGTGCACACAAGCAGGGGAAGGGCAGAGGGAGAAGTAGACTCCCTGCTGAGCAGGGAGCCTGACACGGGACCGGGACTTGCTCCCAGGACATTGATATCATGACCTGAGCCAAAGGTAGACACTTCACTGCCTGAGCCACCCAGGTGTCCTGTAAGATGCAACTTTAAACCAGACTGAAGAGAGTAAGACAAAGAGGGTGAGATGTCAGCATCTAACACTAGCTCTGCCGGAAACCAAAAGTGGGCAGAGACATGAAGGCCTGGAAGGAAGCTGCTTTCACTTGGGCTGCCCCTTTCACCTTCCCTGCCTTCCTGTATTTGAAAGATCTCAGATGATCCCCAGCCCGAAGCCCTTCTTGTAATGTTCCTAGTGATTAAAGTCCTGCACAGCCAGGAAGCTCTTCCTTGTATGTGGTCACATATTTGGTCACCCCGGCCATACCATCTCCTGTGTACCTGCTCCAGGCACTGGGCCAAGTCCGGCCACCCTCAGGGCTCCCCATCTATGCAGGAGGTGCCTACGAAGCCTCTCCTGCTTTCCTCCAGTTGCATGGGGTCAGATGCTGTCCCACGGGGGAAGCACCAGAAGAGGGGTTCAAACACCTAACCTTTTCCTCAAGCAAAATAATTCTACTTCCTCAGATCCCTATAGGGAGCACAGTGTCAATTCTTTAAACTTTCTAGCCTCTCCAGGAGCATGGATGTCACATCAGCACACAGGCCGTTGTATGGGGGGCACCAACCCTATCACACAAGGATAATACTCTATACTCCCTGAGGACATGCATTCCTCTGGAGAGCAAATGTTTGCGCTCTTTTCTCACTGTCCTTCTCTTCAGTATTCTATTCTGAATACAGAAGGCTCTAGAAATGGGGTCAAGCTGCTAACCAAAATTTGTGGCCTCGAATGTACTAGAAAATATCACTGGATTAGGTGGGAACCAATCCATGAAGAGGATTTGGGAATCCCTGCTCCGTGTAGACCACTGATCTCTGCCTCCTTATCAAATACTGGTTAGGTTCCCAAGCAAACCACATGCATCACTCAGATCAAATACCTTCCACAGTATTTTTGGCTGCACGAAAGGCAGTATGCACTTTCTGGTGTTGAGTCACAAAGAATAAAAACTAGAGAAAAGGCAGCTGAAAGCTTCATGTTCACATTCTGACATATGCCAATCACATTTCAAAGAAACAGTTTCCCCACTAACAGCTTTGTTTGGCTGCGTGTTTCTGCGCAGTGAATGTGCACAGGGCCCCAGACCACCCGTGTGGGAGGCTGGGGCCCACACAGCCTTAGCTCCCTGGGTGGCCCCAGGCCTGGCCCTGGTCAGCAGGCCCTCCACACTCCACGGGAGGCACTGGGCTTCCAGTCTGAGGAGGAGCATCTAGTGCTCTAGGCTGCACGTCAGCTGAGAATTAAGAGAGTCTTCATTCTGTCACTCTGGTAACAAACAAATCACGTTTCCAAACATAAAGAAATCTCAGCCTCACAGATGAGCAAGCAAGAGCCCACACCCTGAGGTTCTTTAAAGCCTGATTACACCACTCGCTTCGGCTTCCTCCTGCTCAGTCACAGCAAGGGGCCAGTATCTGATCCTGTTGGGGGGGGTGCCCTGTGCCCACAGGTGGGGGGCTGTGGAGGGAGGGGCAGCAAACTGCCCCAGTCAGAGACTGTCACACCCCCCAACAGCTACAAACGTGTTCCTGCGATGCTGATGACATACGGGAGCCATGCTAAAAACACAAGACACGTCTGAAACCAGAAAGCAGGGATCGACTCCCCATCCCACATCAGAATCCACGGCCCAAGGAGCCTAATTTCCTTACAGTGTTCAGCAAATGTAATTACATGCATTAAGAGCTACTCGATCTCAAAGAAATCCTCTTTTCTCATAAGAGGAAGGCAGAGGACCATTAAGGGACAGAATGCAAGACGACACATTCCAAAATCTGTTCAATTAACACCAGTGAGAACAATCTGGCATGTGACCGCAGCTGTTTGTAGGCAAGAAACACTTGGCCGTCTAACTGCTGATTTGTCCTAAAAAGTAACTCTACTCTGTCCTAAAAGCCAGGTGGCAAGTGGGAAAACAGCAGTCACTAAGAGTACCACGGAGGGCTCTGATGAACAAACAAACCTTCATGCTCTAGCGGCTGCAGGGCCACTCGCCAGCAACACCCCTCAAAGCTGCGAGAAGATTTTGTTACAAGTAATCATAGGCTGAGGTTTCCTTGAATCCCCTTTGATCTACCTCTTGAGGAGATCTAGGATCCTTCCAGTGACCATCCCACTGAAGACCTGGCCCCTGTGCCCGGGGCAACCCAGGAGCTACAGCTCTCCGACCTTGCCCAAGGCAGGGGTAGGGGTGGGTGGGTGGGGGGGGGTCCTTCCGGGTGCTGTCACCTGCTCCCTCTGCCGAGGCCCTGAGCCGGGAAATCCAACAGACACAGGGTGCTGCTGCTGGACTCGAGTTTCCGGGGTCAGATGCCTGCAACAGCCACAGGTTCACAGGCCTCCACAGCAGGTGGATTCTGGAACCCACGATGTGAGGGACTCCAATGTGTGAGCCTCCTGCTGATCCCTGTCTCAGTCCAGAACCCAGAGTCACTGGGCATATAGAGCGCTCCCTGAGTCTACAATGATGTAGAGTCTCTCAAGAACAGCCTGCTGTTAGCAATGAAACATTCTATCATGATGTGCCATTCTTTTACTGATAGAGAAGCTGAAATGCCAGGTTCAGGTGATATTCTAGAAACCCTGCTGGGTGACTTAAGACACTTTTTAACATCTCTGTCTCATTTTATAAGTTCTGGAAACAAAGCCACAGTGTGCCTGTTAATGACATATTCTCAGGGGGACAAGTGCTGTGGGAGTCTGGAGTGAGGGGAAGGCAGGCAAGGTGACCCTTGAAGGGATCTGGATCTTGACAGCCAGGGCTCTGGAATCCAGTGAGTCCTGACGGCCAGGGCAGCGGACACTGCAGAGCTTTAGACTGAACTCATCCATAGTCACGGATGTGGATGCTGCTCTACTGGTATCTATCAGTTGTCCCCTGACCCCAGATTTGCACCCACTCTCATCTGTAAGGTGTTCGTCATTCTGGACTCAGCCTCACGCTTCAGGCAGTGTGTCCAGAACAAAGAATGCTCCAGACTGGTTCACCCGGCACTTCAATAAAACCAAAACTAGGGTTCTTCGAAGCTGTCCAACTCCGGGTACTTTCTCAGGGGGATGGCTTCCCAGGCACAGCTAGGTCTCGGGGACACTACCCAGCCTTGCACCCCCTTTCCAGGGAGGGAGTGGCAGGGCCAGGTGTGATACGGGATACGGTCACTCCACCGGGCTCTCTTCACCTCTTCAGCTCCTTTTCCTTAAGACTCAGCCTCTAGGCTCTCTTCCACATGAGGATGGGACTCCTACCCTTCTCAAGCAACTATGTGCTCTGGCTCTGCATTTGCGGAGCCTTCCTATCCCTGTGACTCCAGAGACCACATGTTTAGGTGTCTTAAACGACTCCACAAATGTCATAGCTCTACTACCAAAGAGAGCAGCCTCCAAAAGGCCGAGGCTGAGGGACCTCACCCTCTCAGTGCCACTGTGGCGTCATGCAGGGAGGGAAGTTGAAGCACAAAATCCCGGCAAGAGTGCCATCTGTAAAGACTGGGCTTCCTCCGGGCCGGGAAACCACAGGCCCTTGCCATAACGTGTTTATTCCTTCGCTTCCTACATATTTGCTGACTACCGACGCCAGGCCAGATACCCAGCAAGGAGCTGGGGCCAGCAGCGAATGGGAAAGCAAGCCCCTCTCCTCAGGGTTATGGCCTCCGAGTTGCACAGACCGTAAACAAAGAAACAAACACGTTAACCAGAAGATCAGCAAGTTGTCAATGTACAGAATCAAGGGGTGGGGGAGGCGTTGGCCAATGGGCTGCACAGTTCTTTAGATGCTGGGAGGTTAAAGAAAGCTCTCTGGCGAAGTGACATTTAAGCTGAGATCTGAGGGAGTAAGAGCTGTTCATGCAAATGTCAGGGAAAAGAACACCACAGGCAGAGACAATGGGCGACACGCAACCCGAGGCAAGGCAAGGCACGGCGCCTTCAAGGGGTGGCCCATCACAGGTGGGGTAGGGGGGTGGGGTGCATGGCAAGGTGGAGCAGGAGCAGGGACCTGACAGGGCTGTGCACTTCAGTGTGAGCAGTTTGGATTGAGAGTGCAGAGTTTGAGCCACTGGAGGCTGGTGGGCAGGGGAATGGTGGGGTCTGATTACAGTTAAGGTCCTATCCCAGTGATGAGGCAGAGCAAATGCTCTGAAGTGGAAAGCCTCAGGGGCCATTCCAGACCTCCCTGGTCTGCCTTGCACTTGAGACGAGACCCCCCACAGTCCACCTGGGGCCAAGGGAGACTGTGCTGAGGCCTGAGCCCCCTGTAGCCCTGAGCTACTTGCCCGCCAATCTACAGGCTTTCCAACACTGTCTTCTACTCTGATGGATGCTAAAATGTCAGCAATGGCACACAACACAGCATGGGGGCCCATCGTCCCACTGGGGATATGCCATGAGCAGCTCTTCCACGTTAATAGTTCACAGCTTGGCCATGTTGGGGAATCCCACCCCAGCTACTGCTGATGCTAACTGTGCGACCTGGGAAGCTCAGTGTCTCTCTGGGTTTCAATTTCTTCTCTTCCAAAATGAAAGTTAAGAGGTCCTTAACTTCTGGAAAGTCTAAGGAAAGAAAAGTGCACACATGCGGACATAATCATATTTCTCATCTCAGGGTGCGTTCACGGGCCTTTGTTGTCAGGCCACGGGTTGAAAACTCTAGACCAAGATGGCTCCTGGTTTGTCTTTCCACATCCAATCAGGTGACCGTATCCGTGGTTGGAAGGACATCGTGAGTCCACCTTCCCTCTCGTCGATACTCGCTGTGTACACCAGTACTTCTAGCTACTCTGGAAGTACTGGTGTACTTCGACAAAGGAGAGAAGGGAGAAGAAAAGTAGGAGGGGATCTAAAGAAAAGAAAAGAAGAGCTAACACAATGGGATTGGGAGCCAAAAGATGTATGACCTGAAGGAATCTTTGGCTTTCCAAATATGACCCTGAAACTCCATTTTATCCTCATTGCTAAGCTAATGATAACAGATTCATAGTCCTCTATCAGTACAAGAGTGTTTATTAGTTAAATCTGATACCTTATTTAGGACATTTATCGAAGTGTGTACACACTAGTATATGTGGAACAAAAGTGGTACATGAATGTACTGTTTTAATAGACATGTAATTTAATTTATATGTTTCAACAAATTACTGGCACACTATGTCTTCACAAATATTATTAAGACAAAGCTAAATTTTAAAAAAGGGTGATTCAATTTAATGTAATTTTTATAAACTATTAAGTAAGCACGAGACCAGAAGGGGGCACGTGGGTAAACTGTAGGGCAAACACGGGAAGAGTCAGTTTCTGGTCCTTCTGGCTGATGGTGGAAGAATGTATTAGAACAGTAAGGAAGGGCTATGTTGTCTACAAGCTAGTCTGTAATTCCCAGTCTACAATTTTTCTTACTCCCCAAAACTTCTCTCTCAGCTACCTGTCTTTGATACCTCCACATTCCTAACTCCATATTCTTAAGTGGAACGGAGTAAGCCACTGTGGAATTTGATCTTGAAAAGATCCAACCAAAAAAGCGGCTGTTGTCTTCTGTTCTATCAGAATATTATCAACTGCCCATTCAATTTACTTACACTTTTCAGGTGGTGTTATTGTAATAGTCTGCGCTGTAAATTCTTCATCGAAATATCTGGTATCTGTCTCAGATGTTACTTGAGGCTTAAAAGGAGGTACAAGCTGCAAGCAGAACAAAGAAAGTACTGTTAACAGATTTCAGTTTAGGAAAATTCATTTCTAGGATAAAATCAGAGAGCAAATAATGAACTCAGCGGTGCCAGAGACCAGACCGCTGAGTCACTGCGTACAGGAGACATGGCGTTTGGCTTCCCAGTCAACAGTCTGAGCACAGAACAGGAGGTACTTGGTTGTTCTGTATAAAATTTGAGGGATTATGTGAAATAGAACAAATGAGAACCAAAGAATAGGGTGGAAAGAGGATACTGCAAAGTCCTAATTTCCCCCCAATCACACACATATACACAAAGCATGTGGATGCAAACCCTGGTGACAAAATGTAGGCTCTCCCCATGCAGTGAAAGCATGACTCATCCTGTCTGCCTTCCTGACGCCTGGTCCAACAGTTTATTATGAAGAACACAACTTAATGATAGTTATTCTCTAGGTCACAAAGTGCTGGACTTGAAAAGAACCACACCCGCTTACTTGAGACGGGCATTAATGCCTGCCCTGCTCTGGGACAGGGGTCTTGGGAGCCCCTGAAGCCACGGGTAAACTTTTTGTCCCAAGGTTGCGTCTAATTCTCAAAGGGGACTAGGATCCAAAAGAGGGTCAGAGTAACTGCTCTGAGGACTGAACAGGGCTGGACGCATTTGCCTCAGAGTTGTACCCGGCATGGGGGTACGGGGCAGGGGATGTCTGGGGCTGCTGAAAGCCACAGAAGCCCAAGCCTCTGTGACCTCCACTAGCAGGGATGAGCAGAAGCAGGGATGGGACTCCTAGATCTCATGGCTCTGGCCAGAGAGTCTATGGTTCAATGTTCACAGAGGGGGTCCTGTCCCAGGGCCTGGCGTCCCAGTCCATGCTCTCATGAGTACCCTGCTGACCAGGAGATGCTGCTTGTAGAAAGAAATTCCCAAGCAGACAGAAATACGGAAAACAGAGAGACCGAAATCTGTATGTTTTATAAAAATTTTACTGAAACAAACAGAAACACACAACTGGCTTTGGCTCAATACATTTTCCCACTCTTGTCACCAAATTTATGTTAAATAATAAGGCAAAAATCTTTACATTATTCTCTAGACAGACTATGTTTTAAAAAACCAGGGAGTGAGCAGAAGGAAAAGCATGTTTTAGAATAAAGGACCATGCATCTCGGTTTATGGCACATGTAACAAGGCATTTTTAATCTCTGGGCCTCTTATCATCCTTTCTCTCTGCCCAAGGACACAGCTCTTCTAAAGTCTTTGTTAGGAGCAGGCACTTTTTTGGGGGATGACCCTATTTAGGGTCCACTTCTGATGGGCAGTGGCTTCAACAGAACAACATGGCTCTCCTTCCACTCCCCTGACCTCACCTGGGCCAAGCTCCTGTCATGTGGGCCCTGCTCTGTGACACTGCCTGGGCCATGCAAACATTCACTCTGCTGATGGCAATCTTCCCTCTTCCACTCAAGACACAAGGGCATGCATTTCACGTGTACCACACACAAGCATACAAGAACAGCAAAGGTGATCAGGACCAGACAACTTGGGGGTTTCCTCTTTGGAAACGGAGAGGTCACTGCTTCTACCTGCAGGAGACTGGAGGCTGGGGTTCTGGCTGGGGTCCCCATCCTACAAATGCCCCCCAAATGGTTCTTCCTCATCCTTCCGGTCAAAACTTCACCACAAGAAATCCTTTTTTTTTTTTTTTTTTAGCAGAGGTGGGCTTCTGGGCATGTGGAGTAGGCTGTGCTTACCTCTGCCCACTCGTCCCATCTGCTTCCTTCTGAGGGCAAAACCAGAAATCTGCCTCAGGTTTGGGGGAAAGGTGCTAACCTTTAAGTGAGAGAGAGTAGCTGACACTCAACAAAAGCTGGAACAGATCTTAAAAGTTTCCAGTGGTTACAGGAGGCTTAAGCTAGCCTCTGTTCAGGAGTCCCCATGCACCAGAAGGCTTCCCTGACCCCACTCTCCGACAGCCACCCTCCCGCTACCTCTCATCCTCACACTTTGCCTTCCTTTGCCTTCACAGGAGTTTCAACATCTGACTCAACACACCTACATGTGCACACACAGACATGCGCAAAACATACATATATTTGTTCCTTGCCACCACCATTATACCTTCTTCCAACAAAACCTAAGCTCTGTGATGGTGAGGACTTATAAGAACAGTTTTACTGAGGTATGACTGATATGCAACAAACTGTACATGCTATGAGTGTACAATTTGACACATTTTGACATATGTATACACCCATGAAACCATCACCCAAACCAGGATGGTGAAGTGTCTGTTTTCTCATGAGCCTATTGTGGGCTGTCCTCCTTCCTATGCCCTGGCAGGCAACTACTGACATGTTTTCTGCCACGATGGATTTGTTTGTATTTTCTGGACTTTTATGTACATGGAATCATATAGCATGTATCCTTTGATTTTTGGTATTTAGCATGATTACTTTAACGTCCATCCCTGTCACTTCAAGTGTCACTGGCTCACCCACTGTATTGCTGGGGAACACTCCATACAGGTGTGCCACCATCTGTTTATCCATGACCTGTCAACGGACACCTGGGTTGCCTCTAGTTTGGGGCTATTGCAAATAAAGCTGCTAGGACTCTTGGGTGTCCCAAGTCTTTGAACAGAGATGAGATTTCATTTATTTTGGACAAATACTAAGGAGTGGACTGGCTGGATCACATGCTAGATGTACACTGAACTGTTTAAGAAGCTGCCAGACTGTTTCCCAAGGCAGTCACTTCATTTGACATTACTACCACTGTGTACAAAATTTCCAGTTGTTCCATGATCTTGCCAGCGCTGGTTTGGTCGGTCTTTTCACTATCAGACATTCCAGGGTGTGTTGGTGTTTCACTATGGGTTGAATTTACATTTCCCTAATGAATAATCATCTTTTTTGTTGAGTTCACTTCTTTGGTGAAGGGTCAGTTCAAATATTTGCCTATCTTTTTTTTTTGGTCAATTAGTTTCAAGAGTTCTTTACATAATATGCACACAGGTCTTTAATCAGATTTGTGATGTGCAACTGTTCTACCAGTCTGTGGCTTTTCCTTTCATTCTCTTGACAGTGCCTTCTGAAGAACACACATTCTTAATTACACATAGTTTAATTTATCAGTTTTTCTTTATGGGTCATGTACTGGCTTCATCTACAGAATCTCTGCATAACCTAACACCACAAAGGTTTTTCTCCTGTGTCTTCTTCCAGAAGCCTCTACACTTAAGGGCTATGATCAGTTTTGAGATAACTTTGGATATGCTGCAAATTAAAAAAAAAAAAAACAATGGGATGTCCAATTGTTTCATCACAATTTATTGAACTGAACTATCTTTGCACTTCTATTTTAAGTCAATCATACATAAGGGTCTAGATTTTTAGGTTCTTTGTGGGTAAATAAAAGATGTTATCTGTCCAGGGGCCACCTTGGTGGCTCAGTTGGTTAAGTGTCCAATTCTGGATTTTGGCTCAGGTCATGATCTCGGGGTTGTGGGACTGAGCCTAGCTTCAGGCTCCACACTCAGTGGGGAGTCTGCTTAAGATTCTCTCCCTCTGCCTCAACCTGCACGTGTGTGTGCGTACACTCTCAAATAAATAAAATTTTTAAAAGATTTTGTTTATTCATGAAAGACACAAAGAGAGAGGCAGAGACACAGGCAGAGGGAGAAGCAGGCTCCCCATGGAGAGCCGGGTATGGGACTCGATCCCAAGACCCCAAGAATCATGCCCTGAGCCAAAGGCAGATGTTCAACCCCTGAGCCACCCAGGTGTCCCCAAATGAATCTTTTTTTTTTTTTTTTTTTAAAGATGGGGGTGCCTGAGTGGCTCAGTCAGTTAAACGTCTGCCTTCAGCTCAGGTCATGATCTCAGGGTCCTGGTGTCAAGCCCCATGTCAGGCTCCCTGCTTAGCAGGGAGTCTGCTTCTCCCTCTCCCTCTGCACTCCTCCCCCTACATATGCCTGCACTCTTACTCTCTCTCAAATAAATAAATAAATAAATAAATAAATAAATAAATAAATAAAATCTAAAAAATAAATAAATAAATAGATGTCACCAGTCCATAACAAGCTGTCCTGATTACTGTAACTTACTCTTAAAATTGGGTGGTGCAGGTTCTCCAACTTTGTTTTCTGTCAAAGTTGTTTTGGCTACCCTAACTTCCTGGCATTCCATTCCATATGAATTCTAGAATCAACCTAACAATTTCTACAAAATAGCCTGCTGGCATCTTGATTAGGAGTGTGTTCAATTATGTATTCATTTTGAGAGAACTATCATCTAAAAAATATTGAGTCTTCTAAATCATGAACACATTAGATCTCTCCATTGCTTTACGCTGTCTTTAATTTCTCTACAATATTTTTTAGTTTTCAGTATGAAGGCCTTTCACATCTTTTCCCCATCCCTAGGTACTTCATATTTCTGTTGCTATCATAAGTGATATTCTTATTAATCTCTATTTTGGATTGTCTGTTGCTGCTGTATAAATTATTTTTGTGTGGTGCAATCTTTTACATATTTACTTTGTATCAAATAACTAATGGGTTAAACTTTCTTAACTTTTTTTGTAGATTCCATCTGATTTTCTATAGATAACCACATTGTCCATGAAAAGACAGATTTACTTCTTTCTTTCCAATCTGATACATTTACTTTCATTTTCTTGCCTTAATGCATTGGCCAGAACCTCCAATACAATGTTAAATAGCAAACGTCTTCACCTTATAAAATCACTCAGTCTTTCCACAGTAGGATGTTAGTGGTAAGTTTTCCCCAGATGTCCTTTATCAGGGTAGAGATGTTTCCCATTTCTAGTTTAGGGGGAGTCTTTTTGTTTGCTTGCTTTTGTTTAAATCAGATGGGTGTTGGATTTTCTTGAATGCTTTTCTGCATCCAATGAGATAACCATGTATATTTCTTATTATTGATATGATAAATCATAATGATTGACTTTTGAATATTAAACCAATATTGTATTTCTAGAATCAACCCC